GATTTATGGTTTTGATGATTAGATAGGATATATTATAGAAAGAAGAGTAATATGACGTACTGTTAGAGAGAGAGGTTAAAATATATTTGTACTTATAACTGCTGTGAACAATATCGGAAGCCACTTCTTTATATCTTTGTTTCTTTCTTTTCTATTTTTTTTAACTTCTTTTTTTTCCTTGAACTCTTTGCTTTTTCTTTGAATTCTTTCTTTCTTCTTCTTCTTTATATTACTTTGTGTTAGTTTTTATCTTCTTGTTTAAAAGCTTTAATAAATTCATATTAAAAAAAAATCTGAAAACCAAAGTTGAAAGATTATGGCATAAACTGGCCGTGGCGGTCCCAGTGGTTATTGGCACACTGGTGCCATACCAAAAAACCTTGGATGGCACTTAGAAAATCTGTGCATTGACAAGATTTCCATCCATCAATTACAAAATGCCACACTGCTTGGATGCACATATATACTACGCCAGTACATTATGATGTCCTCAGTTCTTGGGAAGAACTCAAAGCAAATGAAGGTCAACACCAGCTAAAGAACTGGCAGCTGTGATTTCACATTGTTGTATAAATCATCATCATCATCATCATCATCATCATCATCATCATCATCATCAGGCTTGTGAGAAGCTGAATGAGGTGAATCAGTCTTCCCAGCTTTCAAACATCTACAGAACTCTTTACTGCCATCTAGTAGACCAGTGAATTCTTGGAGTGCACATCTAGTTTCCATATAAAGTACAATATAGTCCCCAAATGTTGCAAAGAATAGTATCTTTCAGGAAATCATATCTTCCTGCTGCTTCTGGAAAGATAACCATAGAGGTCTCCCAGGAAAAGCTGATTTATATTCTCAAGGTGGATATATAAGGATGTTTCTTATCTAGTAGTCTATTCTTTATTTTAGAATTGTTATCTCCAGCATCACCCAGATAACCAAAGCACCCAATCACAACCTCAGTGATCCATTGGGTATCTTTCCTTCCATGAATATAGCATTTCATCAGTTTGATGCCCTCCTTTTTAGTCCAGCATTCTAAATGCCAGTTTCCCATCTTTTATGTCAGGCATGTATAACTTGTAACAATCTAGGTGTCTGGGGGTTGAACCTTCCAATTATTCTTGACTACTGGCCATATTGATTGGGATGAATAGGAACCCAGCTATATCTAAAAAACCATGGATTGTTAGCCCTGCTTTATGATAGCTGGGTATTATGAATGTACTGTATATTTTTATATTTTTCTAAATATATATTTAGAAGTGCACCTCACCTGCTCTCCTCTCCTTCCAGCAATGCCTTATAGGTAGCAATTTCAATATCTAGAGCCAGCTTGGTGTTTAGCAGCTCCTGGTAATCACGGAGCAGGCAGGCCAGTTTATCTTTAGACTGCTGGTAGGCTGTCTGCAGCTCAACATGCTTATTCCGGGCATCTTTTAGGGCAATGTCACCACGTTGCTCAGAGTCACAAATAGCTGACTGCAGACTGGCAACCTAGGATCAGGAGGAGGAAAGCTTAAGGATTTGCTGGGTCAGCTGTTCAAGACAGTGTGAAAACAGAGACATATGGAATCTGCCTACAGTGTTGAAGACTTAGCTAAGGAACCATTGTCTTTCCTTTCCGCTACTAAAATTTGTCAGGGAGGCTGATGGAATCAAAAGCAGATAGAGAAGACCCATGAGACAAGGAGGGAAGTTACTCGGACTCTGAGAGATAAGTGAAACTACACATAAAGCATGTGAGGATCCACCATGATACCCGCTCTATGATACCTGTGCCCTGATGTCACAACACTGTACATTCTTCCCACCCACCCTGCTTCCATCGCGACCACCATCCAATCTGCTGTCCAGCAACTCCTTATACAATGCACTGGACAGCTTGGCACATGAAAATGAATGGCATGAAGATCTGATGGTTAGGGCAAGTGATGGCAAGGAAGGAAGGAACTAAGATGTAGAGTCCACGTGCAGGATCAGCCTCTTTGTTTTCTTGCAATAAGTTTTACTGCTTTAATCCCACTTGTGTGTCCTTGAGCAGAAGTATAACAGTGAAGTTGTAATACTTATGCCTAAACTGGCATTCTTCTTTCCTAGCCTGGGAGTTGTTCTTCAGAGGTCTTTTTCTCAATTTGCTTCCATTCTGTATCAAATATTCCCAAATCTTTATAGATTATGTTATCTGATTGTTTGCATTACAGAGAATTTAATCACCTGAAATTACTCCCATTAACATTTGATTTCTGAACTTTATACTTCTTTTGAAGTATAAACTGAAATAAACGTAAATAGCTAATATGTAGTGGCGTTTAACTATTGAACGGCTTCTTTGCCGTGGTACTAGAGAGGTTACATATTCTAACGTTGCCAGGTATGGTTTAATATATGCCAGCCTTTGACACCTTCTATTTGTTTCTAGCCACAGCAGGTGGCAGCATTCCATTGACCTTGGCTGATCTGCAAAAGCTACTCAGATTCAGACCAGGTTAAGATTTGGATGATTACCAGAAAATCCCAGGGCTAGGCCAGGAAGTTGAAAACAAGATCTCAGAAGAATCTGGGGCAAATAGTTCCAGAAGTCAAGCACAACTCAAGGGAGACATTCCTTTCTTATTTGTTTTTATGGTAAACCCACCTATTCTTCAAATATTCTCCTCCTTAGAAAACAAGGGTGCATTTGTGTTGGGGGGGCATTTTTCTACTTGTTTCTTGGGGAGGAGAGCAAGAGCTCCAGGGCACGCAGCTCCCCTAAAGTTTTCTATTATAGTATTTCCAAAATGCCTCTGAAAGAACACATTATAATATAATGGGCATTCCAGAAGTACAGCTGGTGGGAATCTTCAAAGAAAACCACAGTGGCTTTAGTGAGCCTCCTTGAAAGGATCAGTAAGATCTTGAGATTCCAAAAAACCTTTCTTCCTGATATTGTAGGAAAACAAGATCATTCAAGATGAAGCAACAAAATGAGATTGACTACCCTACCTGCTTCTTTGCATTATCAGTATCCGTTTGCAGCCTCTGGACCACTCTGTTGAGCTCTGAAATCTCATGCTGGTTGCTTTTCAGTTCTTCGTTGAATTTGCCTCGGTTATTCTGAATCTCTGCAATCTAATAAATGAAAAACAGAAGAAATCAGCATCCCTCTTACTATCATTTGAGCAGCTGATGATGGATCAGCATTAAAAAGAAATCCTTTATCATTTGCTATGCTTTTTGGTATAGAGCACACCAGACATGGGATATAACTGTCTATTTTAATATCAGTGATCAGCAGGCATAAGCAGGACATGGAGATCCAAAAAAGACAATAAGACTTGGGGGTGGGGGCATCAGGTCACTTTTCCTAGTGGTCGGCTTTGTCTAGGCATCTCGTCTGATAGTCCTTGCCAAGGTTTGCTCCCCACCCCTCCAACCCAGGAGCCCATGGGTGAGTTTACTGAAACAAAGAGCATAATTGTTGCGTCTTGATCTGCTGATCTTCAAGCAAGGTCCCTGTGGATGAGTTCTGGCTATCATACCAATACTCACCTTATTGTGGTAAAAGGCTTCAGCTTCTTGTTTGCTGGTGTGAGCAATATTCTGATACCAGGCTTCTACATTCTTAAGGATGAGGTTCATATCCAGATCACGTGTGTTGTCCATTTTCAGAATTACAGAAGTGTCACAGATTTGGCTGTCCAGCTGAGTTAACTCCTGCAGAGCATATGATTCCAAAATAAGATCCCACATCCTTGTAGGGATGTGTAAAACATTACGTATGCAACACATGCAGGTTCCTGCTGTTTGGGTCCAAACATAGAACAAATAAGGGACTGCTTTGTTCTGTGCACAATGAATTTTTTTTGGTCCAGACAGAAGTAGCTTAGGGTGGGGGTGGAGGAATGGGAAATAAGCCAAGTACATTGGAGGTTGGAGGGAGGGAGGGAAGGGACTGAGAAGATGAGGTGGGTGAACAGGACAGTGGGATATGCCATGCTGGGACATTGTCTGGATTTTGTTTTGGTTGAAACCTGGAACAGCCAATGCATTCTGGGTTCCATTCTGATCCGAAATAGTTCTAGAACCTCCAGAATCTATGGTTTGTTCCAAGCTTGAAACAAAACATTTCCCCTGCTTCTTGCACACTCCTACATTATTGCCCTCTACTGCTTAACAATTATGTTGGTATTACGTTAGGGCCCTACAAGAGAGTTCCAATAAAAATATTGCATATTGAGCAAGGCTATTAGAGCAGCGGTGGGTGGGACCACACACCCACAATTGTATGAAGTAGGATCTTAAAGTAAATTGTGGTTGTTTCTCTCCATGGATGTGTTCCCAACAGGTTTCATAAGAACTAGATACCCACCTCTGCAAAGATACATCTCAGAACTTCCAGCTCCTGTGCTAAAACATCGACTTTAGATTCCAGCTCTTCTTTAGTGAGGAAGACACAATCAACATCCTTTGCAGAGAAGAAAACCATATAAGAAATTGTGTTTTTTAAAAAGGAAGTTTCGTACAAAATAATATAGTCTTTATATGGGGAGGGGGAAGTTTGCATATCCATTATGATAATATAATAAGCAGAACGTTTTTTTAAAAAAATTCTTATTCCTTGAATATCATCTGGAATTGAGACAAAGGCGGATCATATACAATTTTTATTCATACTTGAAAGCGAGTGCCATGGAGCTGATTGTTAGTCGATATTCCTACATTGCAGCATTTACTGAAAAGTCTTCTAGATCCATCCAAGCATCCAGATGGAGCAGGTACAGAATATAAACTTGGGGCAGGGTTAAGAATAGATATCGGACATCCCAGACATCCAGGCTTTTTAAGCCTTTCCTTTGTGCACACGGACCTATTGCCATCATTAACATATCTACGGAAGTCTAGCTGGATGAAGAATCTCCACGTATGATTCAAAAGTTTGATCGTGTATTTTGTGGTTATTTTTAAAAATTACCTTTTTGAGCACCACAAATTCATTCTCTGCTGTTGTGCGCCTATTAACCTCTTCCTCATATCTGCGTTAGAGAGAAAGGAAGGTTGGCTCTTAATATCAGAAGAATTTAAATCAAAGACATGTCTCACTGGCATGCTTTCATTAGGTAATTCTGCCACCCCTTTCATTCATTTAGTTAAAAGACCTCTAGGTTGCCTTCAAGGGCAACAGCCTCATCCAGGTGGCTTACATATACCCAACATAAGCAAAACACCACAGAAGTTAATGTATCCTTCCAAATAGTGAACCACCCATTTGAAACTCAGGCAAAACCTTAGACATTCATTGGAAAGCTGATAAATAAAGAGATCCTCACAGCTTTTTAAAAAGCTGATGATTTCCGGATAAGCAAGGCATTCCATAAACTGCAACCACCAAGAACGTCTCTTGTTCTGTAATTACTAGCCTGTAGCTATCATTAACTCAGTGGTAATGTCAGTACAACTTAGATCAGCCTTCTTCAATCTGGCATCCCTGAATTGCACTGGGATTTCAGCTCCCAAAATTCTCAGCCTCACTGGCTGGAATTCTGGAAATTGCAATCCCAACACATTTGGAGAATGGAAGATAGGATAAATATTTAGATATTGCCTAGATCCCAATAGACCTTATCTTGAAATGCAGTTGATCAGATTCCATCCTTCTTGTCTGGGGAGGGGATTTCAGTATATTGCCAAACTTCAATCTCCCAAATGTGTTTACTCACCTAGACCTGTATTCCTCAACTAGTTCCTGCATGTTCTTCTGTTCATGTTCCAGTTTTTCTCTCTCGCTTAGGAGACATTCCAGTTGTTTCTTAAGCGAGGCAGTGAAATTCTCATAGTAGCCTTCAAGGTTCTTCCTGGTAGGCTGAACACACTGATTCAAGAGTTCCCACTTAGTAGCCAGAACCTTGTTCTGCTGCTCCAGGGATCGAACCTGAAAGAAACAATCTCTCCAGTAAGTCTTCCAAAAAAACCAATTTCTTACAATGGATTAGAGGAGAGTGGCCTGATGCAAAAGTATTAAGGGACTTCTACATCTTTAATAGGGGATGCGGTGGCGCAGCAGCTTAATGACGCTGAAAGTTGCCGGCCAGAAATGGTCGACGCTTCAGCGGTTCGAGTCCAGCCTTCGCGTTAAACAGGGTGAGCTCCTGTTGAAACACCTTGCCTTGAAAACTGCAGGGACTCGTCCAAGCAGTCACTGCAGAGTCAGTAACGAAACACCTTGCCTTGAAAACTGCAGGGACTCGTCCAAGCAGTCACTGCAGAGTCAGTAACGAAACACCTTGCCTTGAAAACTGCAGGGACTCGTCCAAGCAGTCACTGCAGAGTCAGTAACGAAACACCTTGCCTTGAAAACTGCAGGGACTCGTCCAAGCAGTCACTGCAGAGTCAGTAACGACTGAGCGCAGATCAAAAAAAAAAAACTTTAATAGTGAGATAGACAAGGGGGTTTCAGGGTGTGTCACTTGCTTCTACATTACTATTAAAGATACAGCAGTTCCACCTTACTTGGTATCTGATAGCCTAATGAAAAAGCACAAATCATGTGTGGCCTAGATTCTGCATCCTCCCTGAGAAACGATTTGAAATTGGTATGAATCAAACACAATTTTAGTCTTTTGTCTGCTTATTTTAAGCTGAAGGCTATTTCACATGTGCAACAATAGCCTAAATTTGCTACACTATATTCAGGAAAGAACCACACCTACTTGTTGCTCTCTGCAATTATAACAATGCTTGGCAAACTGTTTTGCTCACCAGTTCCCCAAGCTCTGTGTCCTGGAGTACCAGCAGTCTGTCAAACAAAGAACAACTCTTTTCACCTGCTTGCTTTGCTGGCTGCTGCTGTTATTGCATGACAGGTGAGCAGATGGAAAGGGAGGTGCATTGGTGGGACTGATGGGGACCATTTGAGAAGGGAGCTAATTAGGACTAGCAGTTGCTTGGCTTAGCTTGGCTTGGAAAAAAAAATCAGTGCGGGGGGAATGGATCCTTTCTCAAAACTCCCCCATTGATCTATCAATCCGCAGTATCTATGATTTGCTTCAATCAGTTGAGCCTCTGAGTAATTCTGAAACATTCTATACATTCCACCAGCCATGCTCAACGTGATCCCTTGGAGATGTGCTGGGATTGCAGCTCCTCAGACTTTCTAGCTACAGGACTATTGACCCATGTTCTTGGGAACCCTAAGAATTCTAGGCCCAAGATGCATAGAGGGAGCCAGAATGGAGAATGCAGAATTATACAAAATAATCTGATGGACTGAAGTTCTTCTTCTTGAAGGCTGGAGGTGACACAGGCCAATGTTTTAAATATTTCCCAAATCGCTCCATCTTGTATACAGCCATATCTGTCTGATATGTAAGGGCTGTAGTCAACTTTTGTCTTGATTGTGCAAACACAATGGTTCTCAGAGGAGGCCTTGCTGTTGCACACCTGTTGATTACACTACCCCAAAGTGGGCCTTTTCTGGGTTGCTGCCTTGTGCAGGAGGGCCCAACTGTGGTGTGTTTGGGGTCAATCTTTGCCCAGGCCTTCCTTTTGTGAGAGTTTGGTGCTTAATGTACTTGATTTGTCATGGGTTGACTTTAACTTAATTATTTTTCACTCTCTCTTGAGTGTTTGACAAAATATTTAAACATTTAATTACCATCATGTTTGCCATACTGCTTTTAATTAACATAGTTTTTGCATTCCTGAATTATCCATTTGAAGTATTCTTTTTACTTTCTTGCATACCGCTTTGAGAATCAGTCAGTCGATAATTCACTCCTGACACTTCAGGAGCCTTATGTGTGAAGTAGTTTTAAATAAATATTATACCGTTGTCTACCATTTGAAATCAAAAGGGCATAGTTCACATTTCTGTCATTCAGACTACCTGCCATGGACAAAAATGGCTCTTACAGCAATAGCTTCATGCAGTTTAGACATAGATCTGAGATGGTTGAGCGCCAGCCGAAACCATGTACAAAGAAGCTTTTCTAGTGACTTAATTGATGTGCAGAATGGATAGTACAAATTTACAGCCCTGCTGCTGATGAATTAACAAAGCATAGAGCCTCCGAGCATAAACCTACAAAGCACGGCAGAGAGCAGAGAGCCACAAAGAAAAACTAAAAGGAATTGCAGTTCTGACTGGTTCTCTCAGTGGAAATGTAAAGACAGCAATTTCTGGGAATTTTTTTCAAAGTATGACATGTGAGTATAGTTGCAGTGAATCAAGATTTCAATCACTGCTTCCTATTCAGATGTCTTATTCTCAGTAAAGGGATCTATACAGATCCAAGTAATAACTGATCAAAACAATCACATTTATGAATGTCTTCTCCACCTGTTTGCCTAGCCCAAGGCAATCACCACCATCATAATGCCCTTTGTCTCTTCCCTGTTATAATTTCATCTCATTTTAAAAAATAGGAGTTTCAGTTCATCAAATATGTTAAATAATGCTACTACTTGTAAAAACAAGTTTTAATCATAATGTTAATTGAAGCTGAAATAAGGCTAGGGTTAAGGTTAGAAAAGTCAAGTAGTTTTGATTGACCTATGATGTACTATAAAATAAGAGGAATAGAATACTATTCTTTCTATTATTATATAGTATATATTACATTACATTACATTATATATAATGATATCTATCTATCTATCTATCTATCTATCTATCTATCTATCTATCTATCTACACAGTGTGTGTGTGTGTGTGTGTGTGTGTGTGTGTGTGTATAAAAATACTAAGAGCAAAGCAGCAAGGAAGGACCAGAAGCTATTGCTGTTCAATGAAGGAAATCTCAGCCATAAAATCCCTGGTTCAAATGCTGTCCCTTAGAAAAAGACTTCTCCCCACCCTCCTGCATGGTGGAGATGTAACACGAATCTCTGTCTTAGGGTTCTTATCAAATTTACTGAGACAACCTGAATCTGAACAATCTCCTCATCTCCCTTGACACACACAAACATGCATGTGAGTCCATGTTCATGAAACATCATCATTCCGGAAAGATTTCCTAGAATTAGTTCCCAGCATGGGATTTTAAATGGCAAGAAAGGATGCACTGTTAGATGCTTTTAGTTAGGATTAGGCAGTTAGAATTAGGGAGCCAGGTAACAAGAGAGGAAGAAAAGGGGACAGATTGATCCTCCCAAATTATTCTTACATATTTAAAATTGAGAGTGGCTCAACTAAAAAAAGAGAAGGATGGGCAAATTCCTACCTTATCGATGAAGCAAGCAAACTGGTTGTTCAAGGTTTTCATCTCTTCTTTCTCGTGCGTCCGGGCTCTCTGCTCCTCGGGGTCAACTCCAAGAGAAAGTGGCTTCAAGAGGCGCTCGTCAATAGACACCCCCCGGATCCCTTCGCTTCTGTTGCCACTCACGCTGCCCATTCTACCATACGCTCCAAACCCACCTGGGCACTCAGCCCCCCCGTAGCCTCCACCAAACCCTCCACCGTAACCATAAGCTCCCATCCCCATCGCTTGCCCAGCCATCCCCATGGCTTGGCCGCCCATTCCTATGCCTTGCCCACCAACACCCCTGTAGACCTGTCCTCCAAAGCCATGACTGTAAGCTACTTTTTGGCTTCCACCACCAGAGTAATTCAGGCTCATGCTAGAAAAACCACCAGCCCCACATGGTCTTCCAAACGGCTGGCATGTAGGAGCAGCGCTCCGGCCCCCCACCATAGAAGCAGAAGAAAATCGCCTTGATCCACCTAAGCATCGCGTCCCAACAGATATATTCATGGTCAGGGTTGGTGTTTTTGGGTTTGGGGGTTTTAAAAAGAGTTGAGCAAACTATATTAGTGAAGCAGTGGAATGAGGGAGAAGCAAGAGAGCGAAGGCGAGAGAATCCCTTTGGTTCACAATCCAGGGCCTCTCTCTTTTATATGGCTCAAGAGGTGCATGGGGTGCAGAAAAATTACATGAAACAATCTGGGTTTGGTTTGCCTAGCAGCTAGAAAAGGTTTCTTTAGTGCAACCTATGCTCCCGAGCAAAAATCATTCTCATACGGGAAATAGCGTGGAATTAAAATAAATGCTTGGCTTGCAAGCTTCTCTCTCCCTGTCTTATGTCTGGCTTTAATTAATCTGCTTCCTCAATGTATAATTATCATCCACCAAAATATTTCAAGTGGTTTATTCGCAGGGCAGTTTCACTTGCAGCTTCATCTCTTTTCATTTTTAATTATCTGGATGGAATGCGCCATTCTTGATAAGGAACAATGGTTTGGATGTTTTTATTTGCTGTCTTGCATCAAGACAGGAGCGAGGAGAGGTGGAATGTGTTCTGCCACAGAAATCTGACTCAAAGCAAAAAATCAAAGCAAAGTCAGAGTTACTCATCCGACTAAAAACCTTAAAGCAAGCCCCCCCTCCATAAAATAATATTAGTCAAACTTCTCAAGGGGAGAGTCGGTCAACCCTAGATCCCCAAACTGGCACCCATAGATATTAAGATATTACCCAGGGTAGGAATCCCAAATCTGCTGATAATCAGAGCTGAATTTTCAAATGTCAGAAGTGCAACGTAGGGCTTCCATTAAGCCCTGGGAAGGAAGGAGGAAATGGCACCAAGTTTAAACTTAAGAGAGACGGCAGCTTCATTTTGCCAGAGGGCAATCACTTGTCTGAAGAGGCTGTTGTATATTCTGGATACGTTTTATACAGTAGAATGAAGTTTCTTGAGTATATCTGAATCTGTCAGATTGGAGCCCCTCCCTTGATGCCCATCAGGCTGCATGTCCCATCTGTTTTTATTTTATTTAGACTTTTTTTTAATGGGGGGGCTGCAGTCCAGGGATTTCTTTGGAAGGGGGCCCACTAGATAAGCTAAGGTGGTGAACAGCATTTACAAAAAGGGCCTCCCCAGACTGCCTTCTGATAGATGGTTTTTGTGACTACCCATGCTCACCACAGCAGTGGTCTAGTGAAAGGGCCCAACACATGTTTTTAAATTTCAAAATGAGCACATTGGCCCAAAGAAGGATGAAGATCCCTGCCCTCAACAGTAGTCAGATTTTGTCTAAAGCAGGGGGCTCCTAAACTTTTTGCCATCACGCCTCCCTTTAGGGTAATCTTAATGTACACACCTCCCCTAAAAGTCCAAACACCAAAATGAACAATGAAACAATACAATGAAACTTTGGGAAAGGTGGATTTATTGGAACAGTGTACAACTAAAAGGTTCTTCACACCTCCTGTGGACTCCATCTGCATCTCCCCAAAGTAGGTACACCTCATAGTTTGGGAAACTCTGGTCTAAAGCAAATATGTTCCTGAAGTGAAACATCTGGGCTGAAAGATTTGATAAGAATGCACAGCACTTCTCAAGGGTGTTTTGCACACACCTAGTCACAGCATCTAGGTCACCTGGATGGGTCCTGAAAGATAAGCAGAGGCAGACTGGGTTAGTACTTGGATGGGAGATGATGGAATGCCAGACTGAGTTGGCAAGTGGGGGCAGGGGGGAATGACCTGAGATGAAAGCAAATAACTTCTGTACTGTGGCTAAGAAAACTACATGGATGAGTCCATGAACTCACTAAGAGTTGAGCTTGATTTGAAAGAGGCTTTAGCTTTATCTAATGATGTGGATCCAATGGAAAAAAAGAACATTCTGGAAAAATAGAAGAACCTCTGGCAGTGGGAGACATCATGAACGTATCTCTCTCACAATACTTCTTTCCCACAATAAAAGTATATTTATGAATGCTAATTGCCGGCAAATCCATCATTTTCTTTGGCACTTTGTAATAAATTGTAGTGCAGATCTAAGAGCTATATTCATAAATTATCTGTGCAAGCTGTGAAATGTTTTTGTTTCCCAAAGGCACATGATTGTCCACGCAGATCAGCACAGTAGACTAAATGGCCTTTTGGTTCTTATGAAATCTGACTCAACTTTCTCTTCTCCTGAGATGATGGAGATTTAAAAAAAAAAAATATTTACAATGCGGAGAGAGCCATGCTATGAATCAGCCAATGGTAGTCAATTTAGGGTACTAAATAATTCCTTGAACAGTTTCCAATTAATTTATGGAACTCATTGCTGAAAGATGTGGTCATGGCCACAAGCTCATATGATTTTACCATAGATACTTTTGTGGAAAGCAGATCCATTAAATTGGGATGGCAATTCATGCCTCTAATGAAATGTGCTGTGAGCCACAAAAGTCTCTTACAACAAATTGGATCACACTTGCCAGCAGACTCTATGTGTTTGAGTTACAGTTGCAGTGGTGATGCAGTGGGGGAAATGGACTTATAAGGGGCTTCCTGCGAAAGTATCTAGTTGATGAATTATCAGGACACGTTTTAGGTCCATAAAACCATTTGCTTAACTGATCAATGTTAGTGTGGCATCAGAGAAGAGTAACTAAAACTGCAGTCCTGGGGACCTTGAATGGATATCCCAGAAATCATAATCTTTTCAGAATTCACCCTTCAACCTTGGAGGAGTAAATGTCAGCCCTACAAGAAAGACCAAGTTAAGAAACCAATGCCATATAGGTCAGGGCAATTTTATTATAATAGCGACAGCAACAGAATCTTGTAAGTCTGAAAGTGCTCCTCCCTCCTTTATCTTCATGTGAACTAGGGAGGGGCATGTCTGAGACATTTTCTCAAGTTATTTTCTTGGCCCAGACTCAAGCCCAACTTATCTGACCATAGCTTTGGAAGCAGCTCTTCCTCCTGTCCTTCAAGGCTATTTCCTATGCCCTCTACAGTAAAGGCAATAACAGAAACAGGTTCTTGTTCCCCATAGCTTCCAAAGCCTACTCTTCCTAACATCAAATCTTAGGAAAGACCAAGAGGAGGTATATCAGAAGTAGGGTATGCTGTAACCAGATGCCTTTCTACTCCCACCTCCAGCAAATGTCCCCAAGCAGCACTTTATCTTTGTCTGCTCTGGAGTGAATAAAGCTACATTCCAAATTGTATAATTAAAAAAATAAATCCCACTTTTTAAAAAATAGCTGAGAATTAAAGAGAGAGATGCTACAATTTCTCCTTCACTCATTCTTAATGGACCAGGCTTTAGATATTTTGGCACAGGAGCTCTCACAAAAACAGTTTCCTGCCTATGACTATGACTATAATTTGCATTCAATTGTGGAGGGGATGTCTTATGGGAATATTATGGGAATATTCACCTCTCAAAATGGAGGTAACAACATTTATGTTATTATTTTTAGTTGATGCCCCATATTTCTACATATAAGAGCACTTTGGGGTTCCGAGCAAATACTAACAAGTAAATTTTTGTTTCATCTCAAAACAGTCTACAGTAAGTCTACATATTACCTTGTGTCCTTATATGCTGACACTTTATCTGCTGGTTGTCCTCAGTCCAGTAGCAGAAGGAAGGCACAAATCACACCAAAGAAGTAAAAGGTAGGAGAAGGAGAAGGAGAAGGCTTAGCCTCATGTACTTTGTCCTCCACGCCATATGCACTAGTGTTCCACATATGTAAATGCAGCTATGGAAACCCACCTGGAGAAGGGTTTTTCAGAGTAACTGCAGTGGGCAGAAAAAGCAATGGGTATTCATTCTCTCTTATCTCTGCTGAGGTTGTGTTAAGCCCTTCACAATCTAGAAAGCAAGATTCCCACAGATTCAAAGGGAGATTTATTGCAATAAGAAAGGTGTTAGGTTACAGAATCTTGGAAATTGGCTATGTGTACCTTGGCCCTCATTTATTAGGAAGCCCTCAAGATGGGGCCTCCCTCTTCCCTTTCAATTTCTTTCCTTTTTTTAATAATAATTTCTATTAAACATTACAATTAAAAAGATAAGAACTAATACAAATCTTAAAAAATGAATAGAAAGAAAGAATAGAAACTGCAGAAAAGGAAAAAAGAAAAAAGAAAAAGAATATAGTAAAGAAAAAGAAAAGAAATATATAAAGAAATTACTTCCCCTTTATAACAACAAATATAAACAATTTTAGTAATTATCACCTTCTCTTAAAATAGAACAAATGATCTCTTCTCTTCCAAAGTGTATTTAGGGCAAGAT